CAGTAGATAATGGATAAAGAAGATATGGTACATATACACAATGGAATATTATTCAGCCATAAGAAAAAAAAATCCTACCATTTGCAACAACATGGATGGAGCTAGAGGGTATTATGCTCAGTGAAATAAGCCAGGCAGAGAAAGACAAGTACCAAATGATTTCACTCATATGTGGAGTATAAGAAGAAAGGAAAACTGAAGAAACAAAACAGCAGCAGAATCACAGAACCCAAGAATGGACTAACAGTTACCAAAGGAAAGGGACTGGGGAGGATGGGTGGGAAGGGAGGGATAAAGTGGGGGGAAGAAAAGGGGCATTATGATTAGCATGTATAATGTTGGTGGGGGGCGCACTAGGAGGGCTGTGCAACACAGAGAAGACAAGTAGTGATTTTACAGCATCTTACTGTGATGATGGACAGTGTCTGTAATGGGGTTTGTGGGGGGCACTTTGTGAAGGGGGAAGCCTAGTAAATGTAATATCCCTTATGTAATTGTAGATGAATGATACCAAAATTTAAAAAAAAAAAGGCCGGTAGGGAATACCATCAATAGCAGCACTAGGTAAATTTTTAAGTTACTTAGGGGTCCATCTTCAGTTACAATCTCATTTCATTCGAATATACTTGCTTTGTATGTGTGTATTAACAAACACATGTCAGATTTCCAGCATGAGCCAGGCACCACTCTAGGAAGTACAGGGGAAAAAAACACAAAGGAAAGGAAGCATTTATTGGCATTCACAATGTTTCCCAGGCATCTGCTCCCTTCACAGGCATTAGCAGCTCTTACCTCACACCAACCTGTGAGTTTGGTACTCTCATATCCCCATTTTACAGATGAGAAAGCTCAGGCTTTGCAAGGCTAGATAATTTCCCCAAGCTCACATGCCTGGTAAGGGGTAAAGCCAGGATTCCAGCCCAGGCAGGATGCTTGGGAGCCCACACTCAGACCCTCCTCCCCGATCCACCCCCAACCCACTACCTTCACCCCCAAGATAGGAAACAGCAGCCTTAAAGAGACTTAACTCTAGAATTCTGGCTCCAAAACCAGAATTCATGAAGTTTTCTTTAAATAGGAGCATCTTTCAAGGTGGGTACTGTTTAAGTATTTTCCCCCAACTTCCCCTTCCCATGGCTACCCAAGAAACTTATGACCAGGTTTGGAAGCTGTTGCTTTTGCTAATAAATCAGAAGTAACTGAGGCATCTTGATGTTATAAATCCCTCAGAATGTGGGACTCAGGTCTACAAGATGCAGCCCGAACACCAAGGGGAGACTTTGAAGCCCCAGTCACAGGTTCTCCCACTGACCCCAGGGAGGGCAAAGCCAGGGGATGAGAACAGAGAGATGGCAAAAGTCAGATCCTCCTAGAAATGCCCCCATTCTCCTGCCAACCTGGCAAAGCCCAGCTTGGGGCTGGTCAAGCATCCTTGATATGCTAGAGGCATCTGCCCTGGAAACGACAAGCCCCAGAGCCAGGTCCCTCTGTTCCCAGGGGAATTTTGGCCACTGCAAAGACTCTGCAATGACCTTGTCCTCCAAGCCAGACTGTAATCCCCACGGCCCCTCCCTGGGCTTTGAGAAGCCTCTGGTATTGCCTGCCTCCACCTCTGGTTAGTCAAAATTCAGGAAAACCCTGAACAGGAGCCCAGAATCTATAACTTCTCATGGATGGCAGGGTAGTTGGCAAACTCCCATTCCCAGCAGAAAACTTAGATTTCAGTGTCAGCCACCATATTAGGGCACAGGGTGGGAGTGGAAAACGCCTCTATGCTGTAGGACTATTAATTCGGAGCTAAGAGCTCCAGCCTTTGCCTGGATGTCATACAGCAAGTGAATCTCCCATGCAAACATTCCTGCTGTCTCTGAGTCTCAATTTGCCCACCCGTAAGGTAGGTATAACCATAGTAGTGGTGGTAAGAATGGAAGGACTTAAAGCATGTAGTCAGTGCCCAGGCATAGAATATGACCAGCTCCACTGATGGCCAGATTTCTTAATCTCTCTGGGCCTCTATTTCTTCACCTGAAAAATGGGGATACTTTTAATAGGGCTGTTGTGAGAACTAATTAACACAGTGTCTGGCATAGAGTACGCATTCAAAACATGTTACTATTATCATCACTAAATGTCTGGTTTGCTTTTTGTCTTGGGGAAGCACCTCAGAAAAACCATCACTGTCTCTGAAAGTGAGGTAGACACTCTCCCTGACTGCAGTGCCAGACCCCTGCCAGGCAGACCTCTGCCCACGGGAGCATTCCCTCAGCTCCGCTCCCAGCCTGGGAACCTTATGCTGAGCCTCCGCAGTGGCTTTGCTGCTGCCCTCTAGTGACCACACTCTGTAGTGCAGTCTCCGAGCTGCATCTGTGCTGTGTTCAGAATTCTGCCAGGTTGCCTGCAGCCTGCTGTGAGGATGCAGCCAGCGGGAGGTGATGATGCAGGATGCAGTGAGGTGCAATGATGACACCCACACCCGAGCTTCAGCCTCTGCTCTGTGCACCTCCTCTTCCCCACCCACACAGCAAGAGACAAGCAGCAACAGGCAGCCTTACTTAACCCGAGGGCCTCTCCTCCCTGGTCTCATTCCACTCTGGCAAGGGAAAGAGCACTGAATGGAATGTCACAGTCAGAGAGAACCCACAGCCACTGCTTCCTTGGCTAGGTGAACTTGGACTCACCCCTGGCCTCCCTATGCCTCAGTTTTTCCATAGATTCAGCAACTCTAAGGGCCTCCCAGCTATGACCACTGGGATTCTCTGATCCCAGAGAGGTCCCCTACACTATTTCAGAGTCAGGGCCACCCTAACATTGCAGGCAGGGATCTTCCTTTGGGAGTGGGAAAGCCCCAGTCATCTTCTGATAACAGGACTAGCTCTGCCCCACCCCCTCAGCCTGATCCGTGGCTGCCCCAGTGGAGCCCAAGAACTGGGAACTCTGCCCTCTGCCAAGTTACTCCTCATCTCCCGCTCCATGAAATCGCATTCCCCCAGAGCTGCAACTCTGCCTTTTCTGGGCCACACACCCCTTAGAGAGACACAATCCTCCTTCCCAGAAAGATCCATTTGTGCCCACAATTATAAGGTTCCCAGACCTCCAAAAGCCCACCCATCAGTGCCCCTTCTCTTTCTAGAGGCTTAACCCCTTCATCAGTAGCATTCTCCCCTCCCCTAGGATTTTCTTTTCGACAGACCATAATGGAGAAGGTGCCACAAGTGTGTACATACTGATGTAGTGCCATCCTCCAAGATTTTTACCTTATTAAGTAAAAAAACTAGGGCCAGAAAACACATGTGCAACAGTATGCCACCATTTCTCATTTCTGAAAAGATGGTGTGTGTGTCTGTTTGTATACATGCATAAAGCACCACCAAAAGAACTTTACTGAACCAGTAACTGTGGATGCCCCAGTGGGAAAAGTAGGAGA